CCATGATAGTGCGATAGTTTGTCACCACGTACTTCCTTCCTGATTTATGAATAGGAACAATCTTCCGCATGGATCAAGTTGATAGAAAACCATGAACCATAGCATATTCCAAAAGCTTAGTGAGAACAAGTCCAATATAATCTTCTCCCCACTTGATAAGTTCAATGTACAAGCCATCTTAATCCTCACATTTGCCATATGCTAATTTTCGGAGAATAGTCATCACCTCTCCTTCCAAAAATAATCCAGGTGTTGCTTCACAATTTGACATGGATGTGGCTTCTAGAAAGAAATAGAGCATTTCGGCAAAAGCTACCAAAGACTCAAAATCAAGAGAAGGTTTTGACGATGGTGTAGCTAATCGTCTACAAAAGGACTTGGGATCCTTCATCAGGTCTTTTGTCAAGGATTCTTGCTTTCGTCTCAAGAAAGCTCCTTTCTTAGACTTCACCAAGTTTTTGTATATCCTTGTCAAAAGAAACCGACTTTGAATATCCAAAGATCTATCAACTGACCTTGCCCTTGCTAGCTTGCATTCCGAGTCAAACCATCCATTACAAGGTAGCCTCTTAGCAATCTAGTAATATGCCTCGAAGAGAACTTGGATGCAGAAGTTTTGAGCAATTCTATGAGCTGTAAACAAGCGGTATGCGAATTTGAACTCCATATGGTGTGAGTCAAAAAAATCTTGTAGATGTTGTGCATAAAGGTCTCTTTTACAAGGATCTAAGCGAAACTTGGGAGAAGCTAAAAGAGATTGGCAAGGTGAAGTAGAGATTGATTTTGACATTGAAAGTATGAACAAAAGAGGTGCATGATCTGATTCAGGTTGAAGTTGAGAACATCAAATGGTTGTTTTATTAAGGACATTATTAGTTACTGGTCTAGTGCTCTTGGCACTAGCTAGGGACTGGCCTTTGGAGTCTTTTCCCTTGTTTGTGGTTGTTGCTTGTATTGTGTTTTTCAGCCTTTTGATCCTTTGGATCCCACGGGCTTGATCTATTACCATTATCATTATCAAAGGTTTGCATATGATGTATGTTCATACACAATGTTTACAAAACTCTGAATTAATTTTTACTATGTGAGTTAACAAGCTACTTTTGCAAAGAAGTGTAGTGTACTTATAACTCATGTGTACATGACACACACATGAGACATCTCACTCTAAGATTTAGTAATGTTCATTTCATCACACATGGTGTTGCACTTAAGCATTATTCAACAATTATTCAGCATTATTCCCAGCATTATTCAACAATTTGCTTTTGCATTATATCTTTTACCGCTTTTTTAATTTCCTTATTTCAACTCAAGAATTGTGTGTGAAGCAACTTTCAAAAAGCTTCGCTATCTACGAAAAGTTGTACTATGTATTTTTTATTGATGATTATTCAACATTTTTTTGTTTGCATTATACCTTTTACCCCTTCTTTTTAGTTCCTTATTTCAACGCAAGAATTCTTGTTGTGCAGTTTCACAAGAAGTAACCTAGTTTACAATAACACTCATAAAGGCGTTGACATAAGCATACACAAATTAATCAACATAGAAGTGCGTAATTTGCCACTAAGACTTACATCTATGAAGAGTAAGAATTTTTTCTAGTCATAAAAAAAACTTTTAAATGTTCATCAAAAGTTTTGACTTGCTCTATTTATAGTGACATCAAATCTATCCTAATTAAGTCTAAACTACTTGAGTGAAACAAATCTGAATTTAGACTAACATTTCTTGCATCATGTTTTAGTGTATGTTCAGCTTAGTTTCCTACTGCATCGTAAAATAGAAAGCTAGAGTTTTACTTTGATACTAATTATCACACAAAATCCAAACATAGCTCAAACCTTGAACAGACTCACACACCAAACACATATAGTGAGAAAAAAACCCATGAACACAATACGCAGTGAAAAATACATGATTTATCACTGCTCCTTATGTCCACAATTCAAACTTTACTCACGTAAAAGTCTAAAATTGTTATTGAGAGCTTTTGTGAGCTCTCTTCTATAGTGTCAGTCTAATCAGCTGAAGTAACTAGTAATAAGCCAACATGGATTTAATCAATACTTGAATTGAGTTTGGATAAAAGTGAGGCAAAAACTATTTTATCAAAGGTAATAAAGAATTTAAACTGCAATTTCATCCATCTAGTAGACACACATATCACAGAAAAAATAAAACAAGATGTGTGATTCATCTTGTTTGACAATCTACACAAAAACACAAATGCATCATATAAAAAATTCTAAGTTTGTGTTGTTTAGAAATATAATTATTTCTCTACAATGGTGAAAAACAAAGTTGTGTAACTAGCTGGAATTAAACTAACATAAGTTAGCTTTTAACAACATATCTATAATGTTTTAAACTAATGAACTTCAACATGAAACATAATGAAACTAATATACAAAATCAAGTCAATAGATTTAATGATTCTTGGTGTATCTTTTTACATTTTGAATATATTTCATACAAAATATTCATACTTGACACAATTATAATGTAACTAGAAAAAACCTTATTCATAATTTAAAGATGAATGTTCTTATAATAGAGAAAATTTAAATATTTTTTAGAGAAAATTATGCAATGCTTTTAAACATCTATACTTTAGCCACAACATTGATGTCAAATCGTGAATGATTTTCAATGTAAAAAACCATAGAAAAATAAATATTTTAAAACTTAATTAAGATCTAAGAAAAAATAAAATTATCTAAAAATGGTTTTTTCATAATAAAACATACCTAATGAAAAGTATACTCCATGATGCTTATTATATGAAAGTTGCAATTACATTCAAACCAAAGTACGCAAATGAAAAATTTTGTGATTATTATATCACAAAAGTTATATCAATTTAAAAAAAAAACATGTTCAATTTGTAATAATTTAATTTTGATATAAATAATGATATGTGGTAAATTACGGTCTTAAACTTGCAAAAATTCAAATGATCAATCATAGTTTTTTACATAGAAAATAATCACATATTGTTGATATGACATAGATTTATATATTTATGATAAATTAAATGCATGTGATTTTTATTTATAATTAGAAAATTTTTTTTGTTGAAAATTTTACATTCATAAGATTATATATGTATTAGATTGTATTAATAGATTTGAAATGATGTATGTGTAAAATAATAAAATAAATTTGATCCCTTGTGATATTGATCCCTTAGATTGATGAGAAAATAAACTTTTTCAATTTTTTATTACATCTTTATATTTTCATATAACAGTTTGGATTTTTAAGAAAATTATGTGCTGAAAAGTCATCATCATCATCATCAAATTGCTTTTGAATTTTGAATGTTTGTTTCTATTTGATGTTAAAATTTAATGTGCATATAATAAATTGGTTTTTTTTTATTATAAGCATAATTTGAATGAATTTTTTCTTTTGTATTTACACATGAAGATATTTGATTAAGTTGGAGATGTAGATTGAAGAAGAGCTTAGTTCAATCTACCATGAAAGTTAAAATCCGAGTAGCAAAAGAGGCAACTGGATTGAAGAAGATTGTAAAAAAATTGCATTTGCAAATGACATTATGCATCTTCATTGTGATGATCAAAATGCATTACATCTAGTTATGACTCACTGAATAGACAAGAGATTGAAACATACCAATATTTTTTTAGTCAAACTAAGTTTGATAAAATTATGAAGAAAGTCTTTGATAAACTCAATGCTAATATGCTATTATAAAATTTATTTCTTTAGGGAGAGTTTAAAAAAATCATGCCATAATGCATGTGTTGCACATGAACATATAGTAAATTTATAAGCATATGTGCATATATATAATCTTTTTTTGATAAAATGTTGATTTTAATTAGTTCTTCTACAATATTTTGTGGTGAAGTCATATGAGTTATAGAATAGTATCATAAACTTGGAAATTTTAGTTGTTAGTATACCTCTACATCAAATCTTACACTTAGAGACCCTACCACTTAAACTTGTGAGATGAAGTTTATTAATAAAATTATCAAGGACATGTCCAATGATGTTAGCATGCATCACAATATGTGTATTAATTGCTATCTAAAACAGAAGATGATATTATATATAGTTGGATGTCCATAATGAGACATTTTTGATAAAGATACCTTAAATATTTATCTTTTAAATAGCAGCAGCTTGTTTACAATAGTTATTTTTCTGATGAAAAGATGTGTTGATAAAAAAAACCTATTCATCAAGACAACTGGGATTTTTGATTTAATTTTTTCGAATTATTATCTACATAACATCATTATTTACTTTATTTTCGTGTAGATCTATCGAGTAGATAAATTCTTCCATAGTTCTAACTAAAGACAAATGAATACATTTTCTTTGCAGCTTTCTTTCGTTGTCATTAATCGTTGTTATAGACCCGCCTCAACTATGATAGATCTCAAATTTCGTGTCGTAGTTGGTAAAGAATTTTGCAAGTTAGTCCAATCTCGAATGTAGATTTTCCATTTGCCAGCTTCTTAAGTAAAACACACTTTCTGTTACTGTAGCGTATAAACCATTATTGATGTAGATAAATAAAAACACAAAGTTAGTTTGTGCATAAGATAATGTGTCAATCTATTTTTCCTATTTTATTATGTTATTCTATGCGGCTTGTTTACCTTTATTGAATATAATTGGTAAACATTGATCCAATGGCCAAAACATTACTAATGCAGACACGAAAATGTCTAACTAACAACAAAAGGTTCTATCCCGCGACAACGCCAGAAATGTAAAATTGGAAGCTTTTTCTTTGATAGAATGTCTTGCTTCGGTAAAATATCTATCTTTGATCTTTTCACCTGTCCACTCTTTTTCAGGTAGCACTAGCGCGTGGAAATTGTAAAGCCACTTCTAGCATGCGGACCCTTCTTAAATCGCCATTAGTTGTGTTCCGTTCAGGTGAGTGATATAAAAAACAAAATCAGGTAGTTAACGCAAAGGTAAGTCAGAAGAAAAAGGATGCACATGTGGTTGATTTCAAGATCTGCCGTAGAGTTTTTTGTCGGAATTTGTTGGCAACTTGAGACAAACAGTAGGGAAAAGAAGAGTCTCACTTCAAGTTCATGATCATACAGTGCAGTTGTCTGCATTGTATTGTCAAGTGTCTTCCACAATAAAAGACGAGCCATTTTCCCCACAATAAGATGTGCACAACCTAGATACATGTATGTCGCTACTCTGATGTATATCATTGAGGCTCCTCTAGAAATATCACACAAATTCAATAAGAAAATTCGTCCGTCAATATCTTGGGACAAGTGTCCTTCAGAGATAGATTTGGTCGCCACTTACACGTTCGTTACAAGCCTGTTATTGACCTATGTTTCTGTTACACCAGATTAAACTGCTGTAGGCTTTGCACGGTTTTCTTGACGATTCCTGCTATCGGAGTGAAGTTCAAGCCCAAATGCTTCAGCTTATCATTTGAGAACTTGAACAGTGGCTTGCTGAAAGTTGCTTCATCCATGCCTTTCATATCGGGCTTCAGTACATTCTTGTACTGTGGGTAGAGCTTGGCCAGCAACAAAGCAATATAATCGATGGTCACACTTTCCGACACTGCCAAGTGTCGCCCTTCTGCATTTGAATTTTCCATCGCGAGAATATGAGCCGTCGCAACATCCTCAACGTCCACAAACGCAACGTTGGTGGGAATTATCATGTCATCCTCCTGCTTTTGTATGCCCTGAAGGATTCTCAGGACCTCGCTGCTGCTCCAGTTTACAGTCTCTTGCATCAAGCCTCCGAGAACCGTGCATGGCACGATGGAAACCAGGTCAAATGGAGCATCTTTAGCGTACTCAAAGGCTGCTCGCTCTGCAAGCGTCTTACCGAGATGGTAGTACATTTCGAGCTTCTGACAGAAGTCGGGGTCGGTCCACCAGGTCTCATCCACTACGTCGTCCTCTGATCTGTTGACGAATCTGTCGCTGCAAACTACAGCTGACATCGATGATGTGTACACCACCCTCTTCACTGTCTTCGTCTTCGCAGCCGACTTCAGCACATTCAACGTTCCCTTCACGGCGGGATCCACGATCTCTTTGTAGGGATCGTCAACAAAGTCAGCAGATACTTTTGATGCAGTGTGCATAACACAATCCGCCCCATCGACCACTTCATCGAAGTCGCCCTCCGCCATCAACTCTGCTCTGTACAGTACAAGCCTGTCTTGAGCTCCAGGCAATTCAAGCAAGTGGCGCAATTTACTCTCATCCTTGGGATCCCGAACCGTACCCCGCACATTGTATCCACGCTCCAGGAGCAACTTCACTAACCAAGATGCAATGAATCCATTTGCCCCGGTAACCACCACCGTTTTATCTGCCATGAGCCCTATCTATAGCACACTGGGAACGATATCAGTGTCTGAGCTGATGGGAATTTGTTCACTCGCCCTTGTAACTCGTCGGGGAAACCGGTGCAGAATACCTCTTCCTCAGTGCTCTGCCTCCTGAATCGCAAATCAAAGTTGTGAGATAAAATAGTACACCTCTGTCGTATCGATCTCGCATGTAGGGAGGAAACTCGCTCCACGCTCATTGAAAGTTTCCATGTCATTCAATGCAGGTTTTACTATCCTACATCCAAGCACAAAATGTTACTCAATTTGAGATAAAATCGGAGGTCCAAAAAACTTCTTCCTGGCCAGGAAACTGGAGCTTAAATTCCCAGCAGGTACAGTATCTCCAGCTGGGGTAGTGCCTACGAAAGCTAATGGTTATTAAATGCCGGCAAAGCCGCACAAGCATGTGAGACAATCCTAGAATACACAACCTCCACCATACACTGTCAAACGAATAAGCAGAACAAAAGTTGGGAGAACAGACTAGGATTGGCCTCCTGTATCGTTTCCTTGACAACTGCAGTCAGTACTCACAGAGTGACCAAGACCCTTCCAACAGCCTCTGTTGATTATTGTACCGCAATGTTCATTTTCACTTGACTGACCCGCATTCGCAAAATTGAGAGACATCTGTTGTGGAATATATTTATCAAACCTACGTTTTCCCTTAGAAGCCATACATCCACAAGTAAGAGGAAAGCAGACGGTTTCATTTGATGTAGCATATATATAGCCAGAAGATGATCAAAGCTTACAGAAATTTGTCCTTATTAATACAATTGAGGACAGATACTTCAGTATCTCCAGTCCAAGGGATGAACATCCACATAGGTTAAGTAGTTTACATCAAGAATCTGTTAGATATAATCAGTTGATCCAGGTCTAAATCAAACCTCATGGTATATCTGACACCACGGTTTTAAAGGGCTCTATTGTGGCCAAGCATGTCGGAGCTCATACATCCAGAAGACGTAATATGTCAGTAATCTCTATCCTTTCATCTCGGGAAATTTGAAGAACTCAGCTAAGAGATTCTATGATAGATCAAGCAAGTGGCGCAAATTCCTCTTATCCTTGGGATCGTCAAGTCTTGTGTCATAACAAAAATGAAACCAAACCGTCCGGGGGCAATACCTGCAATGAGCATTTTCTCGTCCTCTTGACATCATGAACAAATTTTCTGGTGAGAAAAATCTAGCTTTCCGGAAATATCAACATCGGAAAGGTTGGGAAGTCCTCGCTCAGTTCCCTGACTTTCGGCCTATCTCAGTCAGCTCCAGAAAAAACCTGCTGCCGTACTATCATCTTTCTTCGCCCTTCATGATCACAGCAAAATTTTTGAGTTGACTGGTAAATCTAGTGAGTATACCACGTATTTAATTTTGAGGGGATCATACTGAGCTCTTTGGAAATACTGAACTCTAAACTTATGACAGGTCTCAAGGACGACACTTCGGTATAATTATCATTTTCAGAAAGCATAACGCAGAGATCTTGCTCCTTAATTTTGCCGGCGTTTACTAAATTCAATGAAAAGCTCAAAATGAATGGTAAGAGGAAAGGGGACCAAGTGGATAACAAAAACGTTGGGAAGATCTCATGAAGCCGTAAAAGGTCAAGGACTCAAAACAGACAACAAGAGCAACAAGCTAAACGCAGCAAAGTAACACAACGAGCATGTCTAATCCGAAGAATGGTAAAATGTGAACAAACCAGAGAAACCAAGGTAATTACTCCCGTGCCAAGGTCAATGTCCCATCTATACTGCTGCAAAATCTAAAGATTTAAAATATCACGTACCAGGTATCTAGTAGGATTTAGCCAATCTCGGGTGGAGACAGTGAGAACATAACGATATGTAACCAGGTCATGATCAAATTACTTCATCACACATCTAATCCGCAGGTTAGATGGAACTGTAAAGTTCAGTGGAAAATATGTACCTTCTACTTCTCGCACCCATCACTCTTCACTGAACCACTATTTTCTACTTATGCTGTAAATTGATTGAATTTCCTCTCGTGTGGAGCCGGTCTAGTTTCTTATTCACGATTTTTCTGTGCTGCGTGTCATTTCTTGATGAGCCAATCTCATCTGAACCAAAACAGAAAACATCATTCTTTCTACCTGAAATCTATAAGCGAGACTATATAGTATAACAGTCAAAGGATACAGTCAAGGCGCCTATCAAACATGCGATCGAGTAAAGAAATGTTTGTGTCCAGCAGAGGATCTTTCCCGGCATAATCTGCTTGCATATCAACCACTGAGGGCATCAAACTCGTCAGTAGCAACAGCAGGGGACGCAACTCACAGGGAAACGGTGAAAGCATAAGTTCTCACTGTGTCAGTCGCTCGGAGAAGGTCAGAAATCACTAGACTTAGATGAACCAAAATCTTAGTTTTGTGCCAAATCATCAACAATCATCCCCTCTTTCCGCAGCACGCATCAGGTTTTTATTAAGTCCAAATGTCGTCCTTCGGTGAATGTTTCCTCTTCTTTCGCAGTGATCGTATATGCAGGGTTTAACCACAAGGTTTACGAAGTTTTTAAAAAGCTCAAAATAATACAGAAGTGTTAAAAAATACTAAAGATAAGAAACCGATAAATATAGATTAAAGAAACAGAGATATCGCGGTTTCAAGCGAGCGAATCTATAGGCTGCACTCGTTTGTATTCTCCTCTCTTAGCCTGAAGACCAGAGACCCCACGCCATGGCTAAGTGCTTCGGTATGTCTAGATCGACAGGTATAGTTACCAGACCTGTTCGAAACTGGAAAGCGACAGCGAAGTCGGGAGCCAACGTCCTGCGCGTCTTCAACTTCGGCTTCCTTGCAGCCGGTGCTAACGCAATTCCTCCCCGCTTTCTGCACAATCTCGTACTGTTGCTTCGGCGGGCTACTCAAAAGGTTCAAAATCGTTACAGCAAATATCATTGCGAAGAGATGGGCAGGGAGGGTATAGGCCTGCATCGACGATGGAGACATGCGAATTTTCAGGATATGCAGAAGCCGCCAAAGGTCCGAAAGAAACCTCGACAAGTTCCTAAGAGTCTCCGTTGAGATGATTACGCGTGCATGTTTTCTGTAAAGCGATCCAGAATGTCATTATTTCGACTTTTTTCACCAACGATCAGTATGCAAATGACACATTTTGATTAGACAGTTGTCAAGGAGGCGCATTGGAAAATGTGCGGGGAATATACTCCGAGAGTTCATGCAGTGTAGGCTGCAATCTCCTGAATGATGCCACTGAAAGCTGACATCTGTCAATTTCTCACATGTCGGAATAGGAAAGTGGCGGGTTTAAAGGTCTGGGTACCTTTTGGCTGTCAAAATGGTACCAGAAGATGGAAAGATGAAATCAACAACACGCTTTCCATCTCCTCATAATGAGAAACCAATCCTTCTTGGATCCTTGCCTTTCTGCATGATGAGTTGGACGTGTCTGTCAAAAGATTCCTTACGAGTAGGATGTTGACGAAGACCTATCCCGGATAGTTCGGTTGCGTTGCTGGTTCGACTCGTACATTTTCAAAGGATTACTGCGAGCTTCATCTCATGTAAGTTACATTGTTCTAAACAGGTTAGAAGTCAAGTTCTTTAAGTCACTCTTTGTTTTTAACAGCGTGTACATTTCTCTATGTTTTATATGAGTGTAATGATTTTACTGTATATATACCCACGCACTTTTAGTGATATACACCCAAAAAATGTCACAGTTTAAACTGCGTGGGTGTGTGTACAGTAAAATCATATATCTTACGTGTATATACACTAAAATCAATATCACCGTTTTATATTAGTACACGGAGGAGAAAAAACAATAAAGACTAGAAGTAGATGTCATTTCCAATCCAACTTATGTCATTATTTGAGAATCAATTTTGATACATAGAAAATAATTATGAATAATAAATCCTGGTCAACATTCTATAACAACAAACATTTTCAGTAGAATCTCAAACGATGATTTTTTAGCTCCTTGTTATTGAAACTGTTTACATTTCATATCATGCTACTCAATGATCAGTAGTATCCATTATAAGAAATTTGTTGGACAAAACCATAGAATTAAGTCACCAATGAAGATATACGAAGGTTCCAAAACCATATGCCAACTTCATTTGGTGTATAGACTCTAATTCTAAATAACCTTATTTCTATTGGGTTTCCTTCCATATACATCACATGGTCATCCACACTTATTAGATATATGCATTAAGCATATTGATGCAGATGATGGAAAATCCACATGTTGAAGATAAATGTCTTGAATGTTTTCTACCCTTGAAAAACAATTTACTACTCTATGGGATGGAATTTTTTATACTCTAGTTACACAACGAAACAATTTAATAAAATATATTTAAATTACATGTTGAATGATTCATCTTATGATTAAAAAACAAATAGTTTACCTAGGCTTTATGTTTCAAATATTATAATCATTTTTGTATGATTATCATACAACCATGTGAATTTATAGATATATCATTGCTTGATGCTTAAGATAATTTTATCACTTAAAAAAATTGTGAAGATGATGCTTGCATGTTGTTTTTTAATTGTGTAAATAATATTTTACTTCAAGACTATCATGTCGGACATGTTTTATATTGCAAGTGTAGAAAACTGAAAATTTAATTTAAACAACAACAGAGATGTTTTCTGAAGATAATTGAATAGCATAGTTCAATTGAGTGTATATAAAATGTGTATGAAATATTTTTTACATAGCTTTTACCCAAAAAAAATTCATCCTTATATCACATAGAATCTGAATTTAAGATAAAATCTAAGTGAAAATCGTAATAGATACATTGTTACTCTCATTTTATGATTGAAATTATTTTCAACGTCTTGAAAGTCTAAAAATGAAATATTATTACATACGATTGCATAAATTTACATTTTATCGATAGATTCAGCATATAAAAGATATTAGGGTCATAGTAAGGAGCAAATATGCATTAATTTCGAGAACAGAAAACAATAAGACAACCCACATGCGAAATGCGTGATTCATCACCACAAACTACGTCCACAAGCATAACTCAAGTTTAATTCATTGAAAACTCTAATAATATCACTGAAATATTGTGATCTCTTTTGTATAGTAACAAACTAAACAGCTTTTATCACAATCATTAAGTTAAATATAGATTAAACCAAAATCCGACAAAAAATTATGTAAACATGAAGAAATATAAAAATATTTAAATTTGTATATACATAAGATTTTTTTATTTAAGTGAATTTCAATTGATTCATGTGAATATTTACAGTAAATAAAGTATATTGTAACATAAATAACACAATCATGTTATTTGTAGTGTTAGTGATCGATGCCTTATGCTAGTGATCATCACGAGTCAATTGTTCCATTGATAGAGAAGAACGTAGGTCTCAATAATAAGAATTTTAATTTAAAAACTATATCAAATATTTTTTTAAATATTGTGTTAATTAGGTTAAAATAAATTAAAGTAAAATAAAATATAAGAGCTGACATTTTAAAACATTTTGAGATATTTAATACAAATTGTGAGCATCAAAATTACATAATGTAAAAAAATGCATCAATCTAAAGAAACACTTCTCATTTCATTTATGGCCTCAAAAAAATTATATCCAGTTTGTTAATAATAAAGTTAAAATTAATAATTTTAAATCAGTTTAATTTTTTTAAGAATTATTTGATTGTTTTTAATTATTAATTTTTTATTAATTTCAAATAACTTAGAATCGTTATTGAGATGAAATAATATATGAATTAATTTTTTCGTATTATATTAAATTCATAATTTTATAATTTTGTAGATGATATTTAATATAAAATATTATAATGAAAAATATTTTATTTTCTTAACAATAATTTTTTTCATTATATATATATATATATATATATATATATATCACATTTCATGAAATCATAAAGTCTAAAATTATTCTCTATTATTTTTTGATGTTTTCAAATAGAAATGAAAATATAATATGTTATCTACAAATTGAATCTTAAGTATCAAAACTGTTGATGTTAACTTTGGTTAAGGAGCTAACTAAGGTTATTTAACCAAGGTTAACCGCTTATGTAGCTATTTGTAGCTTAGAGTGGTTGATTACCTTGGGTATATATACCTTGAGGGTGATAGGAAGAATATCATTTCAAGCATTCAAGCAGTAAATTCTCTAGTGCTCTTCTCCTCGTTGACGTAGCCTTTGAGTGTGAACCACGTTATACTTCGTGTCTCTGGTGTCGGTGTGACTGAATGATGAGTGGTTTTGAATTCTAACGTTTACAAAAAACATGATTGACTTTTAATATTGGTTTGGACATATAGATATCATAAAATATAAGTACATGTCAACTTAAAAAATAAATTCATAACCATGATTATTTTTTATTTTTTTGCATTTGTCATCATTGCATACATTTTGAACAATGATTTATAAGCACTTTTGTGATATTTTTAAATACATACACAAAGTATAGTGATTTATTTTAATTATTCAAAGATTTTATATTAAAATTAATCATTATATTATTAAAGAGCTTTAACTTTATTCTTCAATGTGATTGCATGCTATTTCCAACAAATTGTAAAACAATCAAAAATTATGCGACATACCTATATCTACAATAATAGAAAAGTTAAATTAAAATGTCATATTATGTTATTTTTTATCTTTTAAAAAATTAACTATACATATTATTATTAATTTTTTAATTTAAAATATTTTAGCAAGTACAAAAAAATCCACAAATCCAAACACTAAACCCATGCATAGATCAAAACAACATAACATCATCTTTTTACAAATCAAAATTGTCTCATAAATCACTCTAATCATTACAATGAAGATTCAAAATATCTACAAGTCAAATAAAAAATTTCTATCATTTGATACAAAATAAAAGTATATGTTTTGATCACAAATTATTTATTTATTTATTCATGGTTTTTAATAAATTCAATAAAAAATTCAATGTTACTTCAATTTATGCATACACTTTTCAACTAATATAAACAACTAATTCAATTTTTCTGATTATGATCTTGTATATAATTTGTTAATGTAATTCTATCTTGGATTAATTTCATTTAGCGAAAACCATGGTTAGAAAATTCAACTATAGTTATGCTAGCTAAGATGTGTCCCTTATCTCTTCCTGTATTGAAGAAAGAAGTAGTCATTCACTACATACAATTCAGAGTTGCACTTTGAAAGTGAGCAAGAAGGAGTAGAGCTTGGCTTTGAAGATCGTGTATACATTTGTGCTATAGAGAACATTCTACTCTTTCTCGTGAATGTAACTTGTCGAAGATGAACCACGTGATATTGGTGTTGTAACTATCGTGCATGTTGATCAATCTTGATTGATAGGTCTTACAATTGGTATCAAAGCTAGTTCAATGCATGTGGATTTCTGAACTTCAAAGTTTTCTCGAAGACGAAGGAGCGCAAAAGCGCTATCAAAATTTCTACTCTCAATTTGAAACAATTTTTAGTTGATTATTTCCAGATTAGTAGCCAAAGGCAATAATTACATTCTTATGAAAGAATGGGATCATTTCATCGAGTGATCATAGAAATTTTTGTAATCTGAAACATGAAAGATCTATTACATTTGAGTCTTAATGAAACCACTTTGATTTTTCAAAATCTGAATTTTTTTCATTGTATTTTCTAATTTTGCATACTTAAGCTTGATTTACTCCTTAAGATATGATCGTTTCGACTTAAATTTTGTCAAATTTTTTCAAAACTTAGCAAAGTTATGAACATTTGAAGTTTTGAGTTGAATTCGGCTATGGTGATCGCACGGTGAACATGACGCAAATTTGAAGCGATGAATTGTAGATTTAGGGTTTAAGTTTATTTTGGACGGGCCTCCGTATTCAAAAAAATCGTTTTTCCCTGTGAAGAATC